TCCAAACCCATCACAGTCTCCTTTGATATGACCCTGAATCAGATAGCTGACATGGTAGGTACTGACATGTGTGCATATTAATGAAGTTAGCTGTGTAAAGAATGACGGTACTCGCATGGGCACTAAGTCATTCACTAAGTATAATGTTTTTTGACGCGGCGTACGATTTTACGAACCCATCAAGATCCCCTTTATGCTAAAGCAGATTTGCAGGGACTGTCGAACTATGAATCAGTGTTTACGGGAATCGATTACGTTTCAAATAACATTGTAAGTTAATATGCTGAATACTAGGCATAGCACTACATGAAATAAATTATCTTACATACAGAATAAGGCGCAGATTTTGAAAAAAGAATGGACATTATAAGTAAAGCAATTTACATACGCTCGATCACTTATGGGTCTAATTGTTGATGATGACATATGGACGTGAAATACGTATTCAACTGCGCTGGTATTGGCAACATTAGAAAAGTTTATTTAGTTGAATTCTCACTCTAAATGTATCATTCCACCAAAATTACATTTGATTGGCCGCACACCTTGATACAAATTCTAATTATGGTGTTAAACCTAAAGCTATTCTAAAGAAATTCAAAGTACAGCGATCTCCTATATTATGGTTTCTGGTTTAATATGTCATACGGTCAGCCGCAACTGAAAACATCTATCATCCTTTGAACATTTGAAAACATTCACAAAAATAAACGTTAGTAGATGTGTCTGGAATAAATCAGTTAAACCCCCCTCCTATTAGTATCTTATCCTCAGATCCTCCCTGTGGACAATAATAGTTGTCATTAGCGATACAGATAACATCACAATTGGGTAGTCAAATGCAGCTTCCTTCAGATTTGATGGAAGACACATTTATTAATTTTCAGAATGCGCATTATATGGATTCGTAAATACTTGTGTCACCTGTACTATAAATTGCCGATTTTTACTTAAAGATGTATCATGGTCGAAAATATATACTTTTTGATATTGTTGTTCGATGTTGTAGACCAAATTATATTAAGTGTTATCATAAACTAAATATATAAAATATAAGCATTTCCTTAGATAAAAATAAAACTAATACGTATGTGCAGTGATTGTAATTGTACCTACCAAAAAATCGGTGCGCATGCGTAATGGCTAAGATACAAGAACAGCGTTAATTTGCATATCATGGAAAATCAGTCTAACGCATACATTAGCATACGCTATCAAACACCAATATTAAAAATACACATAGCATATGTGAATATACTAAACAAGCATTCAAACGTAGACGATGTTGTGTTATTCGTGCATTAGTTGGTTCAGGTGGCTATCGAAAAAAAATCAATTGTCAGCAGATTGTTATCTGTCACCAGGTACGTAATTACATGACCCCGGGTAACGTTATATTCAATGAAATTCACAAAATGTCGTGCTATCAAAAGCGTGATCAATACTACGGCAAACACGATAAGCATTCTCTGAACAATGATTTAAGTTGCATAGGTATGATGCGAAATACTGATATCTTTGTAATTAGTAACCCTGACTGTCTACACTTAGTGATATCAACACAGCTGTTACTGTTTTTAAACTGATAAAAATAGAGAGATTTCTCCACCGTCATTAATGTTTCGAATATTAATTATAGTATGCATACGTAATAGCGCGAGATCGCTGCTCGAGATCCATAAGCTAATCTACCCATTTCATTTCCAACAACGATACCTAAATATCCCATTAGCTGTGTTTAGGTCAATTAAAATAACGATCCGGGATAATTGCAGAAAGGGGGATATACATAGTCACTGACAACAGCAGATTACAACATATTGATCATTAATGTAAGTAATGTAAAACAACTGCATAGGAAATAAGCGAGATTCGAACTCACGAACACGACAAATGCCTCGACCGTGTTAGCAAACACCCTTCCCGTTACGCTATAACGTAACGCCCCTACAAATGAATGCGCCGCAAACGTTAACGTCGCGCATGGGACTTACAGCGACATAATCAACGTGTGTAAATGAGCATTGTTTATTTACACGAATTTCGATCATGCCTCGCGCGATGAATGTAGCACTATAATAATATAGTATTCACCATTTAATAGTTGTTCCCTGGGCGACACCATATTATTAGCTAATTCATGATTATGAAGAACGCTTGATTTTGCGTTGTCACAATTCTGAATGTTTCATCCACTATGCGTATTTTCGATTTCTTTCTATGACAGTCTTTGGGACGCCTTTATGTGCGCAATGGATCACGTGGAAATTCGAGTCAATCTGTCTGTTGGTCGGTCAGTAATATTGAATGTGGGTAATAAATTTGGGTGCAGCTGGGAACATTCCTGTTTTATCGTTGCGTATCAATGTGCAACTGCCAACAATTCAAGTCAAGTTTGTGATAATAAACGAGGACAAAAATAGAAACAGCTGCCTTGCCTTTGTCGAAACTTGTATCAGTACCGTGTTCTGTTGTAGTAATAATATATTAATATATTTGATAAAACAGTTATAATAATAACAAAGGCAACCCACAATGAGATAACAATTACTGGAGAAAAGACATAACTCTCTGCTTATAATTTCCGTATTTTGATTAAATCTGGAAACGGTCTAATTGACATCTGACGAATGTCAAGGAAATCCGAAGGCGATGCTAATTTGAATTTCAGTACAATACACGCAAATTAAACAGATATTAACTAAAGTCTATGTTTTCCATCAATTTTATTGAGGCTATACTATTTGATGGCGGATATTAAAATTAGAATTCTGTAACGACAGTTTAGTTTGAATTAGTGCCCAACAAACTTGTGAATAATTAAAACGCAATCACAATTCTTTGAGATTATAACATAATGTTAATAATTATTGTTATTTACCTTTGTGTTGTTTTCATATATGGTACTTTCTTGCAAACCCGTGGAATATTCCACGATATGCGCTTATCTTGTCGCCTGTATCTAACCTTATCAAAATGTTATATATGCCCATTTAATCCTCTGATGTTTCTGTTGTCTTTTGAATGACTCACTCTGATTGGCTCTGTTAGCAAAGTGATTCAATTGACAGCGGTAATACATTGTTTTAGACACTATAATCGCAATGTACGTCTGTTTAACTCCAGAGTTTTGTTTCGACAATTCGTATGTGTACCTGTCTGGATAGTGGCGGATGAGCGGCTATGTGCGTGCAATGAATTGAGTGATTACATGATTTTGTGCTTATGTTTACATTCAAATGTTGTTACAACCTGTCTTAATACACTGTCTAACGATTTAGCGATGTAGCAAAACCCACATATAAATCTGATTTTCATTTCCTTACACAGGATGAAAGAAATCAAGTTCTTAAGACTAACATATGGACTACACAGGTAAGCTTCGACATTAGGTTATATTCAGCTTTGGGTGATGATATCCAGATCTTGCTGACAGTTCAAAAGTCGTCATATATATTTCCGCACAAATGTGATAAATATATCCTCGCGTGACTTGACGGTGTTTGGTGTGTTCTGTTTCAGTGGTGGGATGATGAAATGATGCGATGGGACCCAGACCAATACGATGGTATAAATCAGATACGCATTCCTGCATCCGATCTATGGATGCCTGACGTCACATTATATAACAAGTAAGTTGCTCATAAATTAGTTGCTGACGTCATAGCAAAGTAAATAAAAAGCTAGTATAGCTAGTGTATCTATTGGTTGCTCACTTGGTGGTCAGATTCAACATTCAGCCAATAAACATGCCAGACACAATGGAACATTGGCATTTATGAGTGATTGTATTTTCTCAGTGCTGTATTTGTCGTAACTTGGTGTGTTTGATTCGGGTGGGGGGGGGGGCTGCTTTTACGTAGTGTGTTAATTTTTCTTCTGTCAAGATAACGTTTTGTCTTGTAACGGCACAATATTCAAATCTGCTCATAATTGTCACAATAAATGTAATTCATTCTTTCACCAACAAACATCCCGCTTTTTTATTAATTAACTCTCAACAATACTCATCCCATATCTGTGATACATTTTTTTGTCGGTGAATATAGCAATTCTCCCAGCGTTGCACAAGTTATTTTTTATCTTTGGACACTCAGTGACTAGTTGAACATATTGTAAATAACATCCAGGTGATATTCAATAGTGAAAAAAGTGGCGATCCCAAATTTTGCATGTGATGATTGGTTGCCATTTTATAATATTCAGCACACAATTTTGTAACAAAATCACTTCAGATGTTCGCATTATCTTTCATTAGAACTAAATTGATCATCACATCATTCACATTACTTCTATTATATTTATGTTATATTAAAATATACCTATTGATCACCTCATCTCATCATACCCATATTCCCCAACATAATTTGACCATATCGGAATTCCAAGCTAGTTCTTTCCATGCCATGCTAAATCCATTATCGTAAAAGTACTCTTAAGCACTACGGATTCAGCTTTCAAACGCATGGGTAGATTTTAGTAATTTAAAGCTCATTAGTGTGGTTGACTTTTGTGATACTTCCTGCCATTTGACTTTTGTTTTTTAAAAACGAAGAATCAAATGATAATTTAGAACTATCAATTATTGACAACGAGGGTTTGATATGCTTTGATGATTTGGCAACGCATTGAACGTTGGTGTTGGTATAGCAACCACGTATTGATAAATCGGCAAAACGTATATATATATATATATAGATAGATATAATTACAGTACTGGATATTACAATTTCTCATAATGTCTTTGAAATACAGTTGATAATGCATAGCTACATATTCGGCCTGCACTGTAACACTGTTATTCCCTTTTCATTCCATTCCATTCCACTCCACTCATTGTTGTTTTGCATGTCTAAAAATGCACCTAGCTACACAACAAATATTGTCACAGGAAATCGACATAAATCCAAACGTGTTTTTTTTGCACCTGCATGATGCACGAAATCGTAGGGTCACTGAATGCCTAAGCATGCCACTTGTTTTCTGGAATTTCGATGTTGCATTTAAAGGAATAGTTATTTTAAAAGAAAAGTGTTTTCGTTTAATAAAATTTACTAATCTAAAAAGCAGAACGTCGTTCGATTTTTGACATGCGGGATTGCGATCAGCTAATAGGTAAGATTTTCATCAGTTTCATAACTATACTTAGTATGCATGGCAATCAATGTTATTTTACTGCATTTCACGCCCTACCTGTCCTTACCTCTACCTTTCAATCAATCTAAACCCCTGTCACTATCACCTTACAAATAATATCACCATCGCTAAAAATGCGTTACTGTGCAATCTGGATTATAACCTTCTACTTTTTATAGACTTTAGTATATTTGTATATTTTGCTTCATTTCTTTTCTATTTTTTTGTTTTGTTTTGTTTTGTGAAAGTGTTCTGTTTATATAGATCACGTGACACCGATAGTTGATTATTAACCTTGATATTATCTGACTCAAAGAAACATGGCACTGGCAGCGTAGTTTAATAATTCACAATTCTGGATATAAGTCGAGGACAAGGTGGTTGATGACACACAAAGTTCGCGTTGCAAAGTCTCTGACCTGGCAACAAATCTGCACTTTCTTTATTTTAGATAATTGCAATAATAAATAACACGAAATTATATTACGTAATCTTTGCGCATTTCGTGCACAGGAACTGATATATTAAAACATGTTAAAATTACAACACGACCAACTAGTAAGTTATAAACTAAGTCGTCTAAAATTAGTTGTGGATATATAACATATTACCTCTTGGTTGTCACTTCTATATTGTTTGCCCCTAAACACAATAAAAACACGAACTGTTAGGCAGATTGTATTGCAGGTATTTTGTTCACGTTAGTAGTATTTAGAAAACAAAACATAAACTTTCAAAATGTTGATATTCAGACTGCAATCACCATATAAACTGGTGCAGTGAATATGTTTCACTAATACATCTTGTCCCATACGTTGATGTGAAACCATGATTTTATTGTGCTCGTTTTCATAATATTTTTCTACTTTCGTTACCCACTTTGTTCATGTCAGTTTGTGTTTCTGCTTTGCTTTCTTCGGCTTACGAGCATTACTGTTATTGCAACTATTGTGTTCATATAGTTTGCAGATCGAGTACCTTGCACCAGGTCTCATTTATCTTACCATTTTTATCAACAGTGCCGACACGGTGGACTACTCAAAAGAAAACGAATCATCATCTAACTGCGTGGTAAACTCAACCGGTGAGATACAGTACGTCTCCAAGCCTTCAATCCTGAAAAGCACGTGTAGAGTGTTTATCAAGTATTTCCCATTCGATGTCCAGATGTGTAAAATGAAATTCGGATCCTGGACGTACGACAGTTTTCAGGTGGACCTCGTTAACGTTAAAGATGTGCCAGACCTACTTGGATTCATCCATAACGAGCAGTGGCATCTGGAGTTCGCTCTCACTAAGCGCCACGTGATCTTCTACGAATGCTGCCCAGAGAAATACCCAGATGTATCTTTCTACATCTGCATTAGAAGGAAACCACTGTATTATATTTACAACTTAATAATACCATGCGTCTTGCTGTGTACTCTGTCCTTCCTTGGGTTCTTCATGCCTTACAATGTGGGAGTGGTGAAGGCCTCACTCAGCGTAACCTTGATCTTATCTCTGACGGTATTTTTACTTCTGGTTGCTGAAATGATGCCAAGAACGTCGATGGAGATACCGCTCATTGGTTAGTGTGCTTAAGTTCAGCCGATGTTTGCATATAAGCATAATAATACTGTTTTGCGAGTTTTGTTCGATCTAACGCCAGAAAAGTTATGAAATTATGATTTCCCGCATTCAAATCTTCGAACAAATATAGGGAATCAGAACATTCTCTGGGTTATACATTATTAAATCATATATAATTGTTCAATTTTTGATATTCGATATTTTCACAGGTCAGTACTACTTAGCAGCCATGTCACTTATATCAGTGTCCACAGCAATGAATGTAGCTGTACTAAACGTGCATGTCTGCAATAGAGATGTGCCCAGGTGGATCAAAGTCATAGTGTTGAAGTATATGGCCACTATTATGTGCATGCGTGTAAGCGAGTGCAAACATCGCCAATTGTCACAGAATTCGGACACCATAGGAGCCCGCAGAGCACACTCAAATGGACGCTACACTGCAGGCACTCAGAGTAGCAGGGATCCCAGCCACTATAGTCTACAGAGCTCGTCATCGAGTAGGGCCGCAGTGTCCTTCAACACCTTCCATGACGTCGGAGATGATGAGAATGAGTGGAAGTTCTCTAAAGTCGAGCAGAGCGTCTGTGAAATCTTCAAACATCTGAAGTACCTGCAGAGGAGGAATGATAGAAAAGGTTCACTCAGAGACGAATGGGTTAAAGTCGCCACCATTTTGGATAAGACACTGATGTTTTTGTTTATCATGTCCACTATCACTACCTCACTTGCTTTGTTGCTTCAGAACCCCGGCGACGCTACAAAACGCTGCCACAGAATGATTGCAGAGGACGAGAGATTCTACGAGAATGATACGTACACATAACTGTATTTTGTCTGACTACCTGTACTGAATGAAATTATATGTGATTATATAGAGCAGAACATATAGTATACAACTATAATATATATTAGAAGACAAATTGACCATTTGCACAAGATTTGCCGAACATTTTATAAATCATCTAAGACCACTTTGCTGACATGCATGCAAAGTTGTCGTTGTTACACAGGCTTCTTACAATTTATATTAATTATGTTCCATCACAAGTACTTTTCAGCTTGGATTTAATCTTGACTTGGCAGTCAAATACAATGTTTCAATAGCAAAACTCGGTTTTATGGCTTTACTCAATACCTCAAACGGTACTGACTTTCATATTAATTTCCACCCACAAAAAAGACTATTTGCATCAATGTAAGTGTAGTGGTAAATGTACTCAGAAATTAAACAACTGTTGCAAAGATTCACTGAGTAGAGTAGAGTAGAGTAGAGTATAGTGAGAGACTAACATAGACGCTTGTGTACTGTCCAGGCATTACCAGAAAACAGCTTTTAATTATACAAGGACTAGAAATGTGTTTACTTAAGTGTAAGTTTATGTCGTCTACAACATTCGCATAAAACAGTAAGAAGTATAAACGAGGATGTCTTTCACATCAATACACATATTCCGACCCAACATTCCTAATATTGAGAATAGTAAGTCAAGCGCATCGCAGAATTTTTAATCCGAAAACTTAATACATTACTTAATCTTAAATTATTGTTTTCTCAAATAAATTGTGTACGCTAAAGCGTCGACAATTTACGACATAAGTAAGCAATGTTATCGTCACATGTAAGTAAAGTATTGTTTCATTCCTGAATAAGTACGGTGTTTCACTTTAATATAAGCGACTAATCAGATCTAACTTAGACAAATTAATGGCATATAGGTAACGTGCGTCTCCAAATAAACTATATCGCCGGAATATCCACCGGCATTATATCTGTATCTGTACTTCATGATGAACATCATCTGGATGCTTTCAATAAAAACTATATTCTATATCTCTTATGGCAGAAATACTGAAAATAATAATAATAGTAATAATAACTGTATATAGTGCAAAACAGCCTATCAACCATGTTCAGCGAAGATATTCAATTCTATCTCAAATATATCTATATCCCTCTAATAATGTTAACAATCATTAACGCACGATTTACAGATCAATGATACTGCAAACTGATGTAACAAAGATCCTTGCAAATAAACGAATACAGTGGCGGCTCTCTAAAATCAAGCTGGAACTCTTTGTGTCAGCAAAATTTGGCCCTCAATATGCAGGTAACAGCGTTGCAGAGGGTCTAGATTACCCCTAGTAAGGTCGCGCCTCGGCGCAAGTTTGGTGAGCAGATCTCTCCCCATGCCAAATGTTGTGCCGCCGTCTCTGGCATATATATACTCAGGACATCATATGAAGAAGTTACAATAAAAGTCTGTAAAATGTTGGAATATCGTCGGATTAAATATACGACTCGAATATATGCAAACATGTTTATAAGAGCCCGAATATTCATTGTAACTTGGACATAGCCAGGAAAGCTAACTTATGTTGACATCACCAGCTATACTATAGTATATAATGAATAATAATAATGAAATCATTTTACTATGTAATTATATACATTTGATAATAAATGAAGAAGTCACTTTAACCGTGACCAAACATTTTATGTAGGATGAAGCGATGGAATATCGCATGTGTTTATTGGTTCATAAGCGAGTATTTGGCAATAGCAATATTAATACCCAGATACGTATCGAGTATACTAGCTCAGAGTTCGTTTAGTTAATTCTACACGTATGTTTTCAATACAACAACTCCCGCAAGGATGATATACTGTGTATAGCACAATAATTTACGCCTTCTCCCAATAAAAGTGATCGAAAACACAAGTCAAAAATAATACTGTAGATTATTGATAGACGAGATAGTATAACAGTAATTAGATAAATTGTAGAACATAATATATTAGTTTACTCTCCGTCTCTAGTCAACCAAAAGACTATGTAGATGTAGGGCGCATATAGTAGGTAGATCGTAGGTCGGCAATATTGAAATATAGGCAACTGCAGGTGTTTTATTATAGTGTATAGTTTGTAAATGAACTTTTAATAACTTCACTAGTTTTTGCAACACTATTTTCGTACAAAATGTTTGTTGTTCTCTGTTGTATTAAATACAAGCCCGACGTTATTCTGATTTACGATATCCACTCAGTATTTTGTGGATTTTTTTAGTTTCAATAATATCGTGTTAGTTAAGCACACAGTGAATATATGCAATAAAAATGTACACATAATTATATGGCGGTTATTATTTGTGTGTGTGTACGTACGTACGTAGTTGTACAAGTGCGTGTAAGTGGTGTGTGTACTCTCAAAGACTGATTACAACGTGAGATCCAGCTTAATGACGTATTCGATTGAAAAGTAAAGGATTGTTACCGTACAATTAAGCCGTTAAAAAATGCCGAAAAACGGGGATGATTAGTGTTGAGTTGAAATTTTGAATGTCTATTAGCGCAGCCATAGAGCCGATTTAATCAGAGCATGGTTCATATGCATATTCTTTATACGAGTGCTTTTTACCACAAACGGACACACAAGTTACTTCCGTGATAACAAAATTGAAGATTCATTGGTGGTCGGAAAACAATTACAACAACGTCATTTTCTTAAACGTTTACAATTGAAGGCAAAAATACAAACACAAATTGTAATATCTATTAAATGTGTATTTGTTTATTTTTTTAGTGCTGCAACGGTTGACTATAAAAGGGGGAATGGTTCCTCTAATTGCGTGGTAAACTCAAACGGATCAATCCAGTTTGTTTCAAGACCGATGATACTCAAAAGCACTTGCCGTGTGTATGTCAAATATTTCCCCTTCGACGTACAAGCATGCAAGATGAAGTTCGGCTCCTGGTCTTACGATAGTTTTCAAGTCAACCTCGTAAATGTGTCAAGGGAACCGAATACGGAAAAGTTCATTCGTAACGAGCAGTGGAATCTGGAGTTCGCCCTCACTCGTCGACACGTTCTAGAATACGATTGCTGTCCCCAACAGTATCCGGATGTGACGTTCTATATATGCATTCGCCGGAAGCCTCTATACTACATATACAACCTCATCACACCGTGTATCCTACTATGCGCACTCTCGTTTCTGGGGTTCTGCATGCCGTACAATGTAGGGGTCGTCAAAGCTAATTTGAGTGTCACCCTCATTCTGTCGTTAACAGTGTTTCTTCTACTAGTGGCACAAATGATGCCCCGGACTTCCATGGAAATTCCCCTCATAGGTATGGTAATTATTCCCTGTATGGGACAGAAAATTGTTTATCATTTGGATTAGGTGACAATTTGTACACATTTTTACACGTTATATGCATTCCCCTGCTCCCAAATTAATGAAGCAAAGTTGCAGATATTTTTTCTTTAATATTTGAATAAATTTCTCGGTCACCTCTCTCCAAGAATGAAATAACGGCATTTCTTTCATCCAATGTTATATAACGCAGTCATTCTGTCACTTCTACTGTCACATGCTTACATGCTAGTCCTATTGATCTGACATCTGCCTGAGATCTTTGAATACAGATTGACGCTCATTAAGCAAAAGATAGAAATAACAAGACTGAACTTTCAAACTTTTTATTTTTATTAGTTTTTTCCTAGCATTTTTTCTTGATAATGCATGTTGATGTATACATGATCACGACGTGTTTCAACTATAACAAAGACCATATTAATAATTGTTAAACAAATAATAATCCACACACAATGCATACACTTACGTTGCCTTAATGGTATGCTACAATCGATCAATGCAGCTTTGTTTTCACTGCGTCTATTTATATTATTCGCCATTATCTGTTGAGCGTCTGTTCATTTTTTGGAATAGAATTGAATGTCAATTATAAACATTTATGTAATATTTAACAACAAACTGAAAAACCCCTGCATGTCGGAAACTTTTGAGGGTGTGAAAAAAGCGTATTAGTTTGATCAATAGTTATATGATGCGTGAGGCTGGCTGCCAAGTTGACGCGAACAATTGTGAACACATTATCTTTTAGTATGCGACAAACAGTTGACACTAAAACTAAAATATACTTCGTTCAACATAATGGGTCCGTGATTCACGTCATTTCATTTTTTTAAGACTCAAAATGGTCGAAACTTTACACATACATCACATAATAGAATATATTGTGTCTATTAAACAAACGGGGACTATGCCATTGACAATGACTTATTAAATGTACTTTCCAATACATTGTTTTATTATCTCTAGTTGCAAACAGCAAAATGTTTCATAATTTATTTAGGGTCGTGTTTTGAACTTCGCATATACCCATAAATATAGATGACAAATATGCACACAATATAGGACAGACGTACTAAAAGATACTCAATTTACGGTTGTTCATAGCGGCGTGGCAGCAAACGTGTTAACATGTACCAGTTAGATTCCAAGATGTATTCATTAGTGTGTTCGTTGTTTTTCAGGTCAGTACTATTTAGCAGCAATGTGTCTGATATCGGTGTCAACTGCAATGAACGTTGCTGTCCTTAACGTCAACGTATGTAACAGGGAAGTACCAAAATGGGTTAAAGTGTTCGTCCTAAGATACCTTGCAACTATGTGTCTACATAACTGCGGGCAAGGTTGCCTTTACGAGTTGAAAAAAGTTGACGATGAAAGAAGCAGCATGATGAGAATGCGACCCTCACCTTTGTTCGGGCGACGGCTCATACCCCCACATGATCAAACAAGTTTGCGCACCACCAGCAGTACTTTCGGTGGCACTACCTCCACTTCCCGGAAGTCAGTCTCGTCTGCAATGCGTAGTTTTCAAGACGTGACCGACAACGATACTTTTGATTGGCGATTCGCAAAAATGGAAGGATGTGTCGATCAAATTTTTAAGCATTTGAAAGCCGCACAGCGGAAGAACGACAAAAAATCGTACCTACGTGATGAGTGGTTGAAAGTCGCCGCTGTTCTTGACAGGAGTCTGCTTGTTCTCTTTGGTATCGCAACCATCACTACTACCTTGTCCTTGCTTCTTCAGAAACCCGGAGATGCAACGAAAATATGTATTGACCGAATCAATACGGAGTACGAACCCATCAATATTTAAAACGTAGGCACTGATAAATGACTCAGCTTTTCCTCATTGATATTTTACTCCCGATCGAGCACATGCCCATGGTACCAGCATCTTGCGATAACAGAAAAGATGTTTGTTTTATGGATATAGCGGGTATCAATTTAAAAAAAATAAAATAACCGAAAAGGTAGAATTTGCTGTGGGTTTTCCAGTTTAAGTCATATGTCATTCCTTCAATGCCCATGATTTGGGGTGTAAATATAAATTTGCGTTCTATTTATAGAGATCGTGGTGCTGTATTGAATCAATATCATTCCGAGAACTGTATTACAAAAACAGAACTCAATTAGAGAACAGTATAGGCCTTATTTGCGATGCCATATTCAACATTTAATTTATTATCTTGAATCGCCTTAGCTGAGTTGAAATCATATCGCCAAGGTTGAGTGACTCACCTTCCGTTTTTAAGCGTCACAGCTACCCATTGTACTGCTGATCGATTCTATATTGTTGGGAATTGCTGATATTGCTTTGACAAAATTTCAATCAAAGGGCATTACTGAGGGTAAGTACTCGCGCATATTAAGTACAACCCGGTTTCCGCAGTACTCAAATTAATAAAGTGAATATAATAATGCATTGTTATAACATTTCATTAAGTAGCAACGATACCATATAAATAATTATCTATAAGACTGTATTGGCGTAGGCATGTGATAAATTGTTTAGAAACCGGTCAAGGCAAAGACAGTGCGTGCATATAGTGTAAAATGCTCACACATGCCATAAAATATATCCGTCATATACATCACATTTCCAATGCGCAAACTTTCCCATGACGTTGGAAGTACTAGACCGAACAGGAGTGCTATCTTGCGTATGTGCTATTTTTTCTTATAGGCAAAATGTTTACTCAATCGTGTAAATTATTGAAGTTAGACTAGAATTTGTTAAATCAATTATTATACGGTGTGCAAGGCGAGGACTCCAGCGTACATTAATCCAGCAACTGCCCAAGGCATATAAACGATAGCTTATGTAATTTCTTGAAGCAGGGAAATTAACAAAAATTAAACCTGGTGAAAATTCAATCGAAACGCATGATATTTATCCAGTTAATGGCTGTTATTTTGCAAAACAACAACTTAACATGGTTGGGGCATATCAAATTCCGGTGTTGCACATCATTCGCGACTACTAAATATTCTCTCTTTTTTTGGAAATGTAATCAAGTAGAAAACATTTCATCAATATCGTGTACATTATGGCTGTATATATAATCATACATCAAAGATTTCGAAAGTTACTCAAATTATTAAATTATATTATATAATTATAATCTTATTGACTGGTCAACATAGTCCCAAAAAAACTAATTGTTAATTGCACGGCATAGCAATTATTAAGGTTTTACTGATAGTTAGAACACAACTAAGACGTCTCTTTTGATTGTTGTTTCGAGACCGAGGCCCAAAAACAGCCCGTTAATTACCGATATCGGTCGTGTAGTCATTGTCTAGTTATAACTGAGTCATACAACGAATTTAGCGAGTTTTGATGTTGTTGTTTTTTTTGCACCTCGGTTGTGTGTTGTTACTGCGTACATGTGTTACGTTACGTTTTTCTTATACGAACAATCTTATACCTACTAGTAGATAGATATCACGATACAGCAATATATATCACACCTGTTATATACATCTATCAGAATGAATTGACCTACATGTTGCATTTCAGTTTGCTTACTAGATTAAGTAAATGTGGAAAAAAAACAGTTCTGTCCTAGTAAATTGGCGTTGTTTAATGCAAAAAAGAGAAACTAGTAAATACGGACTGTTTAGAACAAAGATAAATTACTTTCCTAGAAAATGTCGACGAACAAAAGTATATGCTGACAAAAAAAAAGAATATTCTCTGGGTAAATGTTGACAAAGAAACACGCCCTCTACCAGAAATAAATCCCATGGTTAGAACCAAGAGGTCGAGGCAAAGAATGGTATGACTGATGTTATATTGAGACAACACGCCTTCTCGAGTTACCATGGTGATTATGATGTACGCGGCGTCAGTGTAAATCTTCAGGTCAATCAATATTATTCCCAAACTAAGATTATATTCGGTATCAGGAATGTGACGGCTATAAAGATATGTACGTCATTAGTATGACAAAAAGTCAATAATGATAGCATCATTCTCCAAAGATCAATGGATTCAGATTTCAAATACCTAAGATTGAGTTTTACGAAAATAGCATCTTCGAAATCTCATAGGATATCTATTCAAATCGGTGACGTCACTCGTTCTCAGATGGTTCTGGGTGTCCATGAGCACAGAATGAGAACATGATCTCGATGCTGATATTGAAGATGTATTTCTACTATATCCCACATAACGAGAGGATAGGGGGCCTGAAACTCCAATTAATGTGCTGTGGACAGCATTACATCGAGTCATTGACGTCTGTTGATCATAGTTTATTGCAATATTGTGTTTTTTTCATACTATTTACTTCATATGAGCGAATACGTACTTTTCAGCTCTCAATTAGAAACTTATTTTGAATTACCAGTGTGAGAAAAAAGTTAAAAATGAAAGTACGAACACATATATAGAACAAAAAATACACCTTGTTGAATTACGTTGGTACAAAAATTGTGTGCCACATATGATAATGTTAATACAAAACGCTTCCTTTCTTCTTGCATTATAGAGTAGGTATACTCCTGTAAACGTATAATGTATATAGGTATTGCCTCCTCAGCTTCATCCAATTTGCGGTTCTTTTACCTCATGTTAAAAAAGATTGTTGCGCGTATTCGAATTCCATGTAAACAATGTATTTCACAGCGTTGTGTACGTCGATGTGAGTCCCATATCGAACATAACGCGGTGCTACTATTTCATGTTGGATGCAGCAGCATCTGCCAACGCTTATTCACGTGTTGAGACACAGTTGCTTTGATGACTATATTGCCCATAGACTAGTATGTAAATAATGTACATTTGCGTGGTTATTTGCAAGTTGAAGATTCCCTGCTACAGCAACCTGGCCGGTTATGGTCACGTAAGAGTGGTACACGTATTAAAATCAGATTTTTGTTAAAATATCCTGTACCCTTGATATGTTAGTATGCATTTTTAAAATGCATGAAGTCCCGTACTTAAACAACTTCGGATATGTTACGTTGAATTGTCTTTCACCATCACCTGAGGGCGTCTTGACTGATAATAAAAAAAGAAAAGCAAGGACAATTGTAAGATTGTAATTCTCGCAATAAGTGTATGAAACAACCAATAGCAGTTGTAGTTGCAGCATAATTTTAACTCTCGACATTAGGATTTTTTTTGAAATATTGCGGCGACGAGGTGCTACGCCGTGAGGGCGAGTTTGAATCTCTCGATGTGTGTTGTTATATGTATGCTCGTTTCCCTGTAATTAGCTACCCACGTTAAATATACGGGCCTTGGTATACATGGAAAACGCATTGCGAACAAATGTAAATTTTGTTTTAGGTAAACCATCCATGATTTCAAAGTTGTATCTGGTTTGTTAAATAAAGCGCCATCACATGGTATGTGTCGTAGTAACTGCTTTCTTTATTGTTTAAACGTTTTATTTTCAGTGCCAACATAACAGACAAGTATCTAAATGCAACGTGTTCTAGTTTACCGCTAAGTTATTCCGAAAAATCGATATTTCAGGTCAATATCTGTATTACATTCGTAATACGATCGTTTCTAGGTGATTGAATTTAAGCTGATCATAGGATTTCACTTTAATTTAAACATCTGAACAATATTTAACAAATTGAAAGGCTAAATGAAACATGTTGTGTGAATGTGATAAGATTAACACAATAGTAGCATTGTATTAAATTCAAATTAAATCCGATTGTACAAATACAGTATGACTATTATTGAGTGTTGCATAGTGTAGAAATTATTTATAGGTTTAGTTACCGACTTATTAGATTTACTAGGTTTATACTACCCAATCCAACGAATGGTTTCAATATTCACTTTTGGAATTACACGACACACATCAAACCCATAAATGACTGTCAAATGCAT